CCAAAATATGTGTCAACATGGCTGGGCCATGATTTTCAGTGCTTTTGCAGTTATGTAATCATCCCCATGATGTGATCTGATATGATGAGGCAATCAGTTATAAGGGGATTAGTGTGGGATGCAAACCCTTAATCAGGTCACAGCCCTGATCCAAAGTAAAGGGTGTTTCCCTGGAGTATGGCCTGCATCAGCTTTTATCTTACACGAGATAAAAGGAGGGAGAACTCAGCAAAGAAAGAAGGAATTCACTACCACAAAGAAAGAAGGACTTGGAGCCAAGCATATCCTTTAGACCCGGGGTCCCTTTGCTGAGAAACTTGTAGACCCAGGGGAAGATTGATGCCAATATACATGGAGATCTCCAAGGAATGCTGGGGCACAGATGTTGAAAGGAGGCAAGGAGTTTCCTCCAGAGCTGACAGAGAGAGAAATCCTTCCCTTAGAACTGGCACTCTAAACTGTGAGAAAGCAAATTTCTGTTTGTTAAAATCACCCACTTGTGGTATCTGTTTATACCAGCAGTAGATAACTAAGTAATCAAGTCAGAGTTATTCTCCCAGTTGCGAGATATGTCTTTGATAGTCTGTTGGAGCACAGATTCAGTAGAAGTGATCTCCTTCAGTTAGTTTACATGTCGTCGTCCAAGCGGATCGTGGAACTAGTGCACAGTTCTATTTAGCATACAGCTGACACAGCAAGGTCTAATTTCCGCCGCACTTTTAATAGTGGCAAGCTGGTTGTAAGTCTGCTTTGGGCAGAGGGCTAGCTGCTGGACTGGGCAGCTGCATGTCTGTCAAGGCCTAAGAAAGGGAGATTTGCCTCAGCAGGTGGCACTCAGTAAACATCCAGGTAATCTATCTCCTTCTTTCAAAAACTCAGTTATGAAGGGCACTGTGATAAATAACTCCTCCTCTGTTTTTCTCTGCTGCTTTTGGAAGTTTCCTAGTCTTAATGGAGATTTTTGCACAAAGGACATGTAGCAGTCAAGGCTGCTCCTTAAGCCCAAAATTCTTTGAGAAGCTCTTTCTGCGGATGACTGAGCACCAGGTCAGATCACAGCAAAGCCACTGCAGATTCCAGGTCTCTGTTGTCAAACTCAGGTCACACAGCTTTGAGAATGCCTGCCTTTTCCCCTTTTTAGAGGGGGGATTAACATGTCTGTCAGCCTATTACAATGCATCACTGTTCTGGAGAGCTAAGAATTTGGCTGAGCATGTTAGGGGCAGCAAGAAGTGTGCTTTCTGATAAAAATGTATTGCTTGAAATGGCAACCCCTCATTAAACAGATCCTAACACTGTTGACAGAGAGAGAGGCAAATGAAGCAGAATTGGCCACTTCATCAGAAATTTCACCAGCTATGAACAGACAAGTGGCAGTAACAGCAGAAAATGTTACTGCCAATAAGTGGCCCCTCTCTTGCTCCAGAAACTACTGTGGCTCCTACACTTCCAAATCCCATTGTCCAGCTGTTTGGCTGGGTGTGGCCAGGAACCAGGTGGCCAGCCATTCCATTAACACTGGCTCCTGCCAACCAAAGCTTGGTTGACCAAAAGAACCAAAAGCTCTTTTGCAGTCAATTCATCCATCAAACCACAAGGCTTACTGAGCTCCTGCCATGTGCTTAGGTGTGGGAAGACCAGCCTTTGTCTTCAAGGCATGTTTGGTTGAGGAGACTAGACTACATATGAACCAGTCAGCAAGCAGGTCAGTGTTGCATTGCATAATATGAACTGTGGATGCCAGAGGAGATGCCAGAAGGGCCTGGAGCAATAGGGAAGAATTCACAGAAGACAGAAGGGCACTCATTTGGCTGACTGAGTGGACAGGCACAGTAGCAGACAGAGGTAGGAGTCCAAGGCAACAGCATGTCCCAGGCTGTGAGGAATCCTACCTTCTCTGCTGACCTGACTCTTGTGCACCTGTGAAGGACAGGTCCCTCGGAAGGAAGGCTGGGCAATCTTCTGTAGTGATACTGCCTCGGAAACCCAAGGAGAGGTGGTTATGAGTCAGATCTGACTTGACAGCAGTGGATTTTTGGGTTTTACTTGAAGAATGCACACTTGCATCTCTCTACTTTGATTTCTCCAAAGTTGGAAAAGAGTGAAATGCTGAGGTGGCACAAAGCTGAGTGGCTTCCAAGTGCTAGGAAGATAATGCCCCAGGGGGTATCAGAAGCAAAGGGAAGATGTCCCATTGACTTGTCCTTGGCAGGACAATTCTGAGGCATGTAATATCCAGCTCCTCAGAGCGCTTTCAGGAAACTGAGCCTCCATTGCCCACAGTTGTTATCAGCTCAACAACATACCCTTTTCTGACTTTCCCTCTTCACTAGACTGTTGTTGTTGTGTGCCATCAAGTCGGACCCAACTTATAGCGACCCCTCCTCAGGTTTCCGAGGCAGTATCACTATGGAAGTAGATTGCCCCATCTTCCTTCCGAGGACTGTTGTTAGGTGCCATCAAGTCGATTCCAACTCATAGTGACCCTGCCCAGTCCTGTTTCATCCTCACAATCTTTGCAATGTGTAAGCCCACTGTTGCAGCCACTGTGTCAATCCATCTTGTTGAAGGTCTTCCTCTTTTAACACTGATCCTCTACTTTACCAAGCATGATGACCTTCTCCAGGGAACGGCCCCCTCATGATAACATGACCAAAGGGTGTGAGACGAAGTATCAGCATCTTTACTTCTAAGAAGCATCTGGCCATACTTCTTCCAAGGCAGATTTGCTGGTTCTTCTGACCATCCATGGTATAGTCAATATTTTTCACCAACACCATAATTCAAAGGCATCAATTCTTCTTTGGTCTCCTTTATTCATTGTCCAGCTCTCAGATGCATATGACAACTGAAAATATGGCTTGGGTCAGGTACACCTTAGTCCTCAAAGTGACATCTTTTTTTTTCTTTTTAACATTACAGATTTGCCTGATGCAATACGTCATTTGATTTCTTGACTGCTGCTTCTATGGGTATTGATTGTGGACTCAAGTCAATGAAATTCTTGACAATGTCAACATTTTATCACGATGTTGCTTATTAGTCTAGGTATGAGGATTTCTGTTTTCTTCATGTTGAGCTGTAATCCACACTGAAGGCTGTAGTCTTTGATCTTCATCAGTAAGTGCTTCAAGTCTTCACTTTCAGCAAAAAAGGCTGTATCGTCTGATATCGCCAGTTGTTAATGAGCCTTCCTCCAATCCTGATTCACTAGACTACCACATATGAGCCACCAGGAGAGAAGGCCAAGGAGAGAGATGGTTAAGGAAGATGGTTAAGGTGGAAAGGTGCCCTTAAGGAATCTTCCCCCACTTCTACTCCTTGGGGTCACCTCCCATGTAAACTACCTGTCTTCATGTTGTCTCAGGATCTGCTTTTAGGGAACTCATTAAGGAAAGGATTTCAAGTCTCACTGAGTTACAAAATCTGCTTCCCCAGTCAGACTGGAACCGCCACAGGTAAGACCTTTTTTTCCTTGCCGTCTCTCTTGTTGGGCTCCTGCTGCTTTGTGCCATGAGCCTCAGTCCCTCCTGCACAGCAGGGCAGTCACTGCTCAGAAATGGCCGAGAATGACTGTGTTGCTGTTGTTTTCAGCCACTATTGAGTCAGCCCCCAACTCATGGTGACCCCATGCCCAACGAAATGAAATGCTACCCAGTTGTGCCCCATCCCCATGATCAGCTGCAGATCAGACGGTTGTGATCCTAGAGTTTTCACTGACTGATTTTTGGCAGTAGACTGCCAGAACTTTCTTCCTAGTTCATCTTAGTTTAGAAGCTTTGCTGAAACTTGGTAAGCGTCATCCAGTAAGCCAGTTCCAATGAGTTGATGCTAATTCATGGCAGCCCCACGTGTGACCATATATAGTATATATAACCTAAAATAAGTGTCATCACCTTTTTTGAGGGCTATGCTCCAGAAGACACTGTGGGAAGAAGCACATTCATAAACCTTATCTGACTTAAGATCCATAGCCACCTCAGCTCCATTTCCAAGTGCGAAAAGTGAGGTTTAGAGAGGTTATGGGTTTTTTTTTTTTTGTTTGTTTGTTTTTTCCTCCCACATCACCTGGCTAGTAAGAGGCAAAAGCAGGACTTGAACTCAGAAATGTCAAATCAAAAGGTCTGTGTTTTTAACCACAGGGCCATAGGACTAACTTTCTTGTTGGGGAATGAGAGGACTGGGAAGAAGTTACAGAGGAGACAGAAACTAGACTAGTCATTGTTTTGGCAGTACCCCTTCCCAAATTCTCTCTCTGGCTCTGCTCTCTAACTGTCTCTGTTGGGAGGCGGAGTCACCCATCAATTATGTGGAGCCTGGAAAGCAGTGAAACCAAACCCATTGCTGTTGAGTTGATTCCGATTCATAGTCATTCTACAGGACAGGGCAGAGCTGCCCCATTGGGTTACCAAGGCTGTAAATCTTTATGGAAGCAGACTGCCACATCTTTCTCCTGAAGAGTGGCTAGTAGGTTTGAACCATAGACTTTTAGGGTAGTAGCAGCTGAGTGCTTTAACTATTGTGCCACTTCAAGCAGTGAAAATTCCTAAGTAATTAAGTGTTGGTTGGACACCAGGGACTCCTTAAGGACTCCTGAAGGAGTCTTGATTGGGGATAATAGCACCCTAACCATGAAGCCCAGAGGCCAGAGAGGGCTACCAAAGGAAAACTCTTTCATTGCCTCCACACTCTAACCTATTCAGAGAGCCATTTATTTTGCAAATAACAGACTTTCTCTGAAGAGTATATTTACTTGTTGACAAATTTTAACCTGTTATGATGGGCTTTACTAAAAACAGTTCCAGGCAGTTTTGGGGCTGGGGCTGGGGCTGGCTGCTGATGTGGGGCAAGCAGAAGAACAGGTGGGTGGGAAGGAAGCAAGATGGAGATGGGCAGACGGGGCAGGACAGGGGCTCTTAGACTCTTGAGTGAAGGACCCTTGTCCACCCCTCCATGCTCCTGCCTGAAAACTCTTGAACACATCACTGAGGACTCAGTACCTGGGTTCCTGGTTTCAGAGACATCACAAGATCTTTGATCATCTTGGCTTCGGAGATTGTGAGCCCGCCTACCATGAAGAGGATGAGAAGAGGGTGGTCGCTGGGATGAGGCCGACTCACCTGCAAAACAAACCACCACCAACATCAGACAGATGGGATTGGTGTTAGGTATCCTAGAGCTGGGCGTCATCCAGTAATCTTTTTCATCACGTAATTTTTATTATATTTCCATGTATCCCTAGGGCTGTTACCACCATAATGCAGGTTGAGATAAACCTTAGAGACATTAGGATTCATTAGGGATTAGGTATATTAGTGGTTTGTGGACTCATTGACCAGAAAAATGCATAACATGTCTACCTGAAAAACACTCCAGTTGCTGTGGAGTTGGTTCTGACTCATGGCGACCCCACATGTATCAGAGTAGAACTGTACTCCACAGGGTTTTCAATGGTTGATTTTTTTGAAAGTAGATTATCAGGCCTTTCTTCAGAGATGCCTCCAACCTTTCAGTTAGCAGCTAAGCATTAGCTATTTGTCACCTTATTATATCCTTCAAGTAAAAATTTTATCGAAAGAAAAGTTAAAGGATTAGGAGTTATTTAATAAGAAGGGATGGCTGAGGGGGCAACTTATTTCTTCCTTATCATTCTTCAGGTCTCAGCATAAATGTGCCAGCCCCTCTCCCCTACTCTTTGTTGCATTGCCCTGTTTCTTTTCTCAGCCTATAGCAATAAGTGTGTTTGTTTATTTGTTTTCTTGTTAGTCTTCTCCTGTACTAGAACATAAACTCCATGAAGGCAGGAACCTCATCTGCCTGGTTCACTACTGGATTCCCAGCTTACCTAGCAGAGTTTCTGGTATATAATAGGTGCTTGGTTCATTATTGTAAAAAGTCAAGGAAAGGTCTATATATGGAAGAAAACTTTCTTCGTTGGGAGGG